TGGGTATACACAGGAGTAGAATAACTGCATAAGAGAGTATGCATACATTCAGCGTCCCTAAGTGGTTGTGCCAATTTTCACCTCCACCAGTAATATCTGAGAGCTCCAGTTGCTTCATGGCCTCTCTGGGACTTGGTACTTATGACAGTGTTTTTTCAACTGTAGCCATTCTAGTGGGTATGTAAGTGGTTTCTGATTGTGGTTTTAATTTTCATTCTCCTAATGACTACTGAGTTTAAGCACTACTTTTATTGGCCATAAAAACTTTGTGAAGTAACTATTTAAGTCTTGTGTTCATTTTTCTGTTGGGTCATTTGTCTTTTTTTTTCTTTTGTTGGGACTAATTTGAGAAGTTCTTTATCCTGGATATATGAATCCTTTGTTAGATGTAAATATTTCAAATATCATCTCCCATTCTGTGGATCATCTTTTCATATTCAAAAAGTCTTGCCTACTGAGGTCATGAAGGCATTCTCTTATGTTATCTTCTAGAAGTCTAATTTATTTTTCTCATTTTGATCTCTATTTGACCTGGAAATTTTGTATTTAGTGTGAGGTAGGAGTCAAGAATAATTTTTTTCCCATATGAATGTCCTATTGACTTAGTGCATTTATTGAAAAGACTGACCTTTCCTCTTTGCTTTGTGGTGTTACCTTTATCATACAGAGTGTCCATATATGAGTAGGTTAATTTCTGGGCTACTGATAATTTTTTAATAATGATAACAGTGATAGTTTTTTTCTTTTCTGTTTGATGTATTCACCTATCCATACACATTACCACACTGTCAAAATTATTGTCATTTTAAAATAAGGTTTTGAATTTTATTGTTATTAATTAATGAAGAGACTGGATCTCACTATGTTGCCCAGGCCAGAGTGCAGTGGGCTGTTCACAGGTACCATAGTGCACTACAGTCTTGAACTCCTGGACTGAAGCAATTCTCTCACATCAACCTACAGGGTAGCTGGGACAACAGGGTCACACCACCAGGCCCAGCTAATAAAATAAGTTTCGATATCCAGTAGCATAATTCTCCAACTTGTTCCTTTTCAATATTGTTTTGGATACTTTTGGCTGTTAGCATTCCCACATAAATTTTAGAATAAATTTTTGACTATGAACATACATATACATATAAACTACTAGTATTCTGATTGGGAATGTTCTTAATAATATAACCAAATATGAGGAGAACTGACATCTTAGACATGAGATGATGACATCTGTGAACATGGGATTTATTTTGGTGTTTTATTTTTCTCCATATTTTCTAAAGTTCTGTATTTAGCATTCTTGTATGTCTTTTAGATTTTTTTCTTATTTTTAATTAGTACAATAAAAATGTACATTTTTATGTACAGCCATTTAAAAATGTACCTTTTCAGTTATTTGTTGCTGGAGATAGTTGATTTTTGTATATTATCTTTGAATTCAGCAATCTTGTTAAATTCACTAATGAACCATAATAATTTCTTTGAAGATCCTATTGCATTTTCTGTATATACAGTCATGTAGACTGTAAATAATAATAGGGTTTTTTTTCCCTTTCTAATCTTCATACCTTTTTTTTTTTGTCTTATACGGGTTAGGTTTTTTAATACAATATTTGTAATATTGTGAAATATATATTTAGTCTTCATCCCCTTTTCCTGACAGGTCCTCAACCTTTGACATCTCCAGAGTGATGATGAGTGTCTTCTGTATGCTCAGAAGATGACTGGTGGTGGAGGGCCCTTAGATAGCTTCAGGGTAGGGACTGGTCACCAGAAAGACCAAGACATGATTAGAGGGTTAGGACTTTCAGCCCTATCCCCCCAACCTCTGGGGCTGAAGGTTAAGTTGACCACCAATGGCCAATGATTTAATCATGCCTAAGTAATGAATACTCCATAAAAACTCAAAAGGACTGGGTTCAGGGAGCTTCTGAATAGCTGAACACACGGAGGTTCCTGGAGGGTGGCACTGCTGAAGAGGGCATGGAAGCTCTGTGTTCCTTCTCTCATACCTTGCCCTATGCATCTCCTTCATTTGGTTGTTCATTCATATCCTTTGTAGTATCCTTTATTGTAAATGGGTAAACATAAGTAAAGTATTTCCCTGAGTTCTGCGAGATGCTCTAGAAAATTAATAGAGCCCAACAAGGGGTTTACGAGTAACCCCCAATGTATTGCCAGTCCATCAGAAGTATAGGTAGAGCTTATTACTTGTGACTAGCATCTGAAGTCGGAGGCAATACTATGGGACTGAGCCCTCAACCTGTGGGATCTGATACTATCTCCAGATAGGTAGTGTCAGAATTGTGTTGAATTATAGGACATCCAGTTGGTGTCTGCTGGAAAATTGGTTGGTTGGTGTGTCAAAAGTTTTGTGGTGAGTGACTGTGAAAGTAAAGAATAGGAGAAACTGACTTTGTTTTTTTCTATCTCATTTAATGTTGAATAGAAGTGACAATAGTTGACATCCTTGTCTTGTTTCTTTCAGGGGAAAGCTTTTAGATTTCACCATTAAGTATGATGTTTGATATAAGTTTTAAAGTAAATATTCTTTATAAGATTCAGGAAGTTATTCTCTATGCTTAGTGTGCTAAGAATTTTTTTAACAAAATAATGCATTTCAAATTTTATCAAATGTATTTTCTACATTTATTGAGATAGGTTTTTTCTTTAATCTGTTAATATGGTAAGTTACATTGATCCAGTTGTTCATTATTAAACTAACCATGTATCTGTAATAAACCCAGATTACTTGGAATGCATCGTCCTTTTCCTGTACCGCTGGATTTGATTTGATAATAGTTTCTTGAAGATATTTGAATTGAGGCTTGTGAGAGAGATTGGCCTGCAATTTTTTTTCTTATTGTATGTCTGCCAAGCTTTGATGTCACGGATATATTGGCCTCACTAATGAGTTCCAAGTGTTCCCTCTTTTTCTATTCTGTAAATGTATTGGAGACAGAATGATACTCCTTACACGTTTGGGAGAATTTAATGGTGAAGCCATCTGGGTACTGAAGTTTTCTTAGTGAGAAGGTTTTATTTAAAGACTCACTTTTCAAAGTAAATGTAGAACTATTCATGTGCCATCATGCCTGGCTAATTTTTAAATTTCTTTTGTAGAGATAGGGTCTTGCTATGTTGCCCAGGCTAGTCTTGAACTCCTGGGCTCAAGTGATCCTCCCACCTTGGCCCCACAAAGCGCTGGGATTACAGGCGTAAGCCACATGGCCAGCCCTTGTTTTCGATGACCTTGACAGTTTTGAGGAATTCTGATGAGGTTTCTTGGTAGAATGTTCCTCAGTTGGGACTTGTCTGATTCTCTTTCTCATTATTAGACTGAGATTCCCTAAAAGTTTTTAGGGGGAAGAATCGTAGAGGTAAAATATGGTTTTTATTATATCATGTCAAGGGTACATACCATTTTTTAAAAATTGAGATGGAGTCTTGCTATGTTTCCCAGGCTGGATTTGAACTCCTGGGCTCAAGTGATCCTCCTGCCCCAGCCTGCCAAGTAGCTGGGACTACAGGTGTGTGCCACCATGCCCAGCAAAGGCGTATACCATTAACTAGCCCTTCAAAATCTAGATCTCCCTATGAATATGGGTAAGTATGCTAACAGATCATTCCAGGAAATGACCATATGCCCCTGAGAAAGGAGTTGTGGATCCTATGTTTCTTTAGGGAATCTCAGTCACCACATCCCTCTGGAGATGTGAGCATCTTGCTGTGCTGAGTATAGCTGTGTTTAAAGATGTGTTTTCTTTACAAGGTGATCTCTAGATATGAGCCAACTGTTTCATCTGGTGCTCATCCAAAGAAACCACAGTTGTTCGGACACTGGAGGAAAAGCTGACTGTGCTGGAGAAGTGGGGTGTTGGTTTTCAGCGTGGTCACACCTTCCTTAGGGGTTTTCGAGGGGAATTCTGACTTGGTGGGTTTTTTTTTTTTTTGCTTTCTTCGTAACTTCAGATGCAATGCCACAGTACCTCCCAAAGAGAAACAGTAGTCCATGAAGGCCATGCAGTCTAAATCTCTATTAAGGAAGAAACACATTTTAAAATCTAAATTCACCATAATTTGCACCATTTTTTCGGCTCACAGTTAAGGGGCAGTGCCAGTTCCCCTCTGGTCATCCTGGGTTGCATACGGGCCATCTGTCTTTCACGACCAGGCTTTATCTACACAGAGACGTGAGTGAAGTTTTGCAATCCTTGTTTTTCTTTACCCTTTCCTGTTATTCTTAGCCCGTCGTGTTCTAAATAGCTTTCTCTGGTGGTAAAGAGATTCCTCTGTTATTCTGAGCACGTAAACACTGAAACATTAGGGAAAGGGTGAGGTTTGTTTCCGAGTGTATTTGCATTCAGCTGGACTCTGTTTTCCTGCACCCATAGGCCTGATCCTATCCTGTGGAGCCACCCAGAAAAGTTCTACACCTTCTGCTTCTCCAGATATTTGCAGGTGGGCTTTTGAGCTCCCCCAAACCTTACTTTCTCCAGTACAAACTTCCTCAGCTTTTCTAGTCGGTGTTTGTAACATAGTTGCGAGTCTCCTCACCATTTTAGTCATCCTTCTTTGAATACAGTCCTGTTTATTAAAACCTGGTGCCCAGAGAGGGATATCATATATCAGCGTGGCTTCCTAGCCCACAGTATTGCGGGATTACCCGTTCCTTTTTTCTCAGTATTGTTCTTCTATTAATGCATTTTAGGGTCACATTATTACTATGATTACTTTATAGGCTAGTACTCATTTATTAATAAGATATTTTTCAGAAATTCCCATACTCCATACCAAAGGCACTTCCTTGGCAAAGTATTTCTCTCTGTCTTGGTTTCTTCATCTCCAAATGGCAATAATTATGATACTGTGAGCTCACAGGACTGTTGTGATGAATGAATGAGATACTCTGGTCAAGCTCAGCCTAATAAATAATAAAGTCACTGTGACCGTCTCTACTTTCTGACTGTGAGTACTGCTACCAGTCCACCCCCACCTCTGCTTGTAGAAATAAAAGGAGCAGATTATGCGAGGGGATGGGTCCACCTGGAGTGACGTGAGGAATACCCAGAAGACCCCGTCCACCTCCTCCTGTTTAGAAGATGTCTTTTGCTATCCTGCTTTGATGCCTGGAATTTCATCCTTCACCCATGTGAGTCATCATTGGACCCAGGAAGTTACAGATCTATCAGTCGTATCCTCCCCATCCCCACCCCTGGAGAGCTGCAGATGCCACCCACAGCTGGCTCCTGGAACCTTGAGCAGAGACCGGGTCACACATACCCAGGATCTCCCAAACCCATGCAGGCCAACCCACCCCGGTCTGAGTCATCTTTCCCATCCAGACTTGAGTCTTAGAGCGCTGCCCTGGCCTTTAGTGAGGCCCCCAAAATGATGTCAGTGTTCATGCTCAGCTGCCCTCGCCTCAACCAGGCTAATGAGGATGGGGAAAACATTCTTTGTTTTAGGCCAAATGGGTCTTCTCTAACTGCAGCTGTTTTCTTTTTTTGTTCCTACAAGTGCTGGGCCCACCCACATAGTCTAAAGCCAAGATCAGGACAGAGAGGGAGGGAGCTGTCCCCTGGCCACCCTGATACCTGTTGTTGGAAATCAACGAACAAACACAAACCCACTTTGCGTTCCGTGAGTGTGCATGTATGTTGGTCCCTAGGCGCTTTAGGACAAGAGGAGGGCCAGAAAGCTCTGCCCATGCGTGGGGAGCATGCTGGATCTTCCTTCTAGCCACAGAAGAGGTCAGCCCCCTGCCCCCGCTGGCCTGCTTGCTCGAACCTCTGAGAGACCTCTGGGCAACATGCTATCCCTCCTAATTGTCTGCCTCGGCAGACCAAGCCTTCCAGGTCATCAGTCACCACCTGGCCCTTCTGCACATCAGCTCCTCCTTCACCCCTCCTCAGCCTCCAGACCCTTCCACTGCACTCTCGAGAACTCTTGTCTCCTAGAGCCTCCCCTCCTCTGAAGGGGCCTTCACCTTCTTTCACTGAAGCCTTCCTGTCCTCAGGGTCCCTGCTCCCTGCAGCCACTCAGGTTGAGGCTGGTTTCTGTTGCCTACAGGCAGGTGTCAGGCAGGGCCGGACGTGGAGGAGTTACTCATTCCTCCCCCTCAGTCCTCAGACTCTTGTTTCTTCCCCCAGTGACTTCAGTCCCCAGCTGCTTTCTCCGTCCACCTTTACTCTCACTGGCGCTGACACCCACCTGGAGCACTCTGACGACATCCTGGCTCCCTAACTTCCTCAGACTCTTACCTTCATTTGATTTCAGCCACCTCTGAGATCTCAACATTTGCTTTTATTTAAAAAATGTTTTAAGTTTACATATGTAAAATTCTTTTTCTGATGTACAGGGCTATGGTTTTTTAGACATGCATGGATTCTCACAGCCACCACCACAGACAGTACATGCAACAGTTCCAATACTCCAGAGAACGCCCTCATCTCTCCTCACCCCTGCCTTCTGGCAAGCAATGAGCTGTTCTCTGTTCCTGCATTTTTGCCTTTTCTAGAATGCCATATATATGGAATTATAAAGAATGTGCCCTTTTGGTACTGGCCTCTTTTGTTCAACAGAATAATACCTTTGAGATTCGTCCACGCTATTGTTTGAATCAAGCGTGTTAACTTTTATTGCTGAGTAGTAGCCCATTGTGTAGATACATTACAATTTTTTTAAAAAAAATCTACCCCTGCTGCAGGACATTTGGGTGTTTTCAGTTCTTGGTGAGGATGAACATTTGTGTGCAGATTTTGTGTGGACTTAAAATCTTGACTTCTTTAAAATACCTAGAAGTGGTCATTGCTGGGTCCTATGTATGTGAGATCCCAATTGTAAGTTTCCTCTCCTCTGACAACTATGCCCCATCCACATGGTTCCTTTCTCTAACATATCACACTGACCACTGTGACGTCACTAAGACCTCCAATTCACTGAGCCTGCCATTTTTTTCATTGATCATGAACCTATTCATTATTTTCTTTCCTTCTCACACAACTTAGTGATCCATCATAATAGTCATTCTACTGGAAACTTTCCTCACTCCCTTCAACATACCCTCCTGGCTGAACCACAACCTGGTAAACTCAACTACCCACCCATTCAGCCTCCATTAGAGTAGAACAGTGTGGCTAGAAGAAAACACAGCTGTGCCACAGGCCAGTTCATGACCGTAAATCTCACCTGAGCTTCTGATACTGATCATCGATCAGTCTGACTTTCTAGTGACTATTTCATACTTGTATCTCTTCAAACCTCTGACAGCCTCATATACCACTGAGGAACTAGCGATCAGACTAGAGATTGCTCATTATCCTCCCACCATCAATTCCACCTGACGGACTAAGGCTTTATTCCCTTCTCTGCCTTCCCCCTTTTAAAACGATGAGCTGTCCATGCTTCTGTCTGAAGCCAGCCCCTCGATGGTGCAGTGGATTCCATCTGTGTCCATCCTACCTTTTCAATCATTTTCCTTCTGCAATTATCCCCTCTCCTGTCTTCATCAACTTCTCTTTCTGCCATTGCCATATATACATTTCCTAATGTAGCGCATCTTCAAAAATAATGTCCCTCCTGGCCTCCTAAAACCAATAACTTTACAGTGGAGAAACCTGACAAACACCTCAGCCAGGTGATCAAGGCGATGAGTCATGATGGCGGAATGTACCCTTGCTGTGATGTGAGGAGGTGATAATGGCACTGTATGTCTGTGGTCTTCCTTTCCAAAACCCAGAAAAACACCAGACAAATCCAAATGGAAGGATGTTCTACAAGATACTTCACTAGCACTCCTCAAAATTGTCAAGGCCATCAAAAGTAGGGAAAACCTAAGAGAAGCCTAAGGAGACATGACAAGTAAATGTAATGTGGTATTCTGAATAGGACCCTAGAACAGAAAAAGAAAGATATTAAGTAAAACTAAAAACCGGAATAAAGTACAGGCTTTAGATCATAAGGTACCAATACTGGTTCATTAATTGTGACATATACGCCATAGTAATGTTAACAATAGAGAAGGCCAGGCACGGTGGCTCACGCCTATATTCCTACCACTTGGGGAGGCCGAGGCAGGAGGATCACTTGAGCCCAGGAGTTTGAGACCAGCCTGAGCAACACAGGGAAACCCTGTCTCTATTCTAAAATAAAAATAAAATAAAATAACAGAGGACACTGAGTGCAGGGAACTCTTATAATAGTCTCACAGGCTTTCTGTAAACCTAAAACTATTCTAAGATAAAAGTTGATTAAATATGAAACCACACACACTCACAGACACACACACTCTCACACACTCCCGTGACCCATGTCATCTTCTTGCTTCACTCCATTTCCCTGCTTTCCTGCACAGGGAACCTTCCCAAAGGAGTTGTATATTGCCACGGTCTCTATCTCCCCACTCCAGCCAGCTCATTCCTCAGTCCACTCCAATCTGCTGTCCTTAGCTTCCCACCAAAACTGCTCTTATTAAGGTTGATGGTGAGCTCCATGTTGGCAAATCTGAGTCCATTTTTTCCCCTTCCCTTACCTTTCAGTCTAGTGTGTGTGTAACCCAGTTCACTATGCCCTCCTTCCCACAGCACCCTTGTCACTTGGCTTTTGGGATACTATACCCCTGGATTTCTTCCTGCTCCTTGGCTGCTCCCGCTCTGTCTGGCTTCTACCAGTGGCCTACGTTCTGTCTCCGGACCTCTGTTCTTCTTTGACTGCACTCTTATCTCATAGGCATATTTCATCCCATCTCGTGGAGTTCAGTACAATTTACCTCCTGCACATTCCCAAATTTGTGTCTCCAGCTTTAAACCCTATGAGGTAGGGACTGCTGTCACCACCATTCTACGTAACAGCAGACTTAGGCTATCAGATGTTTCAGGGACTTCCTTGAGGTTACACAGCAGGAAGCAGCAGGGCTGGGATTTGAACCTAGGTCTGTCTGACTCTAGGCCTGTGTTGTGAGTTGCCAGGCTGCCCGGGCGCCCCCTCCTTTCCCAGCCCCCGTCCTACCTGCTCCCCAGGGCCTCTTGCATGTCCTGCTCATTCTGGCCTCAGGCCTTTGTCTCCCTGGTCCACTTCTCCTGGAATGACCTCTTTTCCCCCTGCCTGTCTAATCCTCTTCCATCCCAGCTCTGGTGGGAGTTTCTCCACTCTTAAGACCCAGGCCAATCTCTGCTGGCCTCCTCTGGACACTTGCAGGTGCTGGAGTCTACCCTAAAACAACCAAGGGTTCATTTGCATCAATAGTTATCATGCTTTCTGAACCCACGACGGGGCCCTTGGCCTAAGTACAGCTGCACCCACAAGGATGCGGAAGCATGTGATCTAACGCTGGGACTGGCTGGGAAAACTGGGCAATGGGCCTCCATCATCACACACCATCTCAGACAGGGTCTCAGTCATCCAGGCGGGCTTTGTTTGGTTTCACCTACTAACTGGGAAGCTTCTAGAAAGAAGGATCATGAGTGCTGAATAAGTATCATTTTTAAACACTGTGTATATTAGGTGGGCCTGGGGAAGTACTTCAAGATCCTTTTCTCCTGGGTCTTGGGGGGCCAAGGAAAGTTCAGTCCAGTAGTGAAAGAATTAATTTAGACTTCATGGAGGTCACAGAGAGGCCGAGCAGTTCCCACAGGGGTCGCTGAGCTCAAAGGAATGTTTGGAAGAAACGGGGGTGACAGGATCGTTTTTGGAAGAACTGAGAGTGCTGGAGGGAAGTGAGGAGCAGGAGACTGGACGGAAGAAGTGGAAAGGGCCATGTGAGAGGCCCAGTGCTGGCTGAGACAGTGAGCAGTGACCTCTGGGGCACAGAACATTGCCCTTTCACTTACGTGAGTTCAGCCCCAATTCCCATGATGCTGGCCAGTGCTCTGGTCCCCACCCTGCCACTAACTCCCTGTGTGACTGCAGGCAAGTTGCTTTGTTTCCCTGGGCCTCAGTTTCCTCATCTCTAAAATGAGGAGGTTGAAAAAAAGAAGTGATGGGGTTGGGTGACATTGTTTCTCAGCTCCTTTCAGCATCCGGAGTCCTTCTGAGATAACACATCCTGTGCTGTCCTACCCTGGGCCACTGCCTCGGGGAAGGAAGAGCCAGGTTAACCTGACCGTTCTTCTACAGGCCTCCTGGTAAAAGTTCTTTTTCACAAAACAGCAGAGAGTCTTTTGTGCGGGATCTAGGAGAGGAATGATGTTAAGTGGTTGAATCTTGCATATTTTAAAAGAAATGAATCTGCATTTCCTTGATCTCCAGAAAAAACACAGTTCATTCACTCTCCATCCCCAACTGAAAATGGGCATCCAAGCCCATGCTGTGGAGTGGGATCAGTTTTGCCCTGCATGATCAGAAGGGGCAGGGTTGGCTCTTCTCTCCCAGGTAGGGCCTTCTGATGTTCCAGCCTTGGGTCAGAGTCCCTCTCCCAGAGAGATTTCTCATCCATAAGCCTGCCAACCAAGACAAGTGCTGAGATGCTGTCGCAGCCCACCAGGGTTTGCTTGCCTGGAGGGGAACATATCTAGCATCAAAAGGACCCCCAGTGGCTGAACGATTGCTAATTCTGTGCAGGCCCCTGCCTTGGTCTTTGCACATCTGGCCACACAGGCATGTACCTACTCCTGAGTCACCTATGTTTTGAAAATATAAAATCAGGAGCATTTAAGTTAGTCTTCACTGGATTGCTTGAGGCAAAATGTGAAGCAGTGATGGCTTGTGTGGGTCTTGTGTCTTGTGCTTGGAGGCTGAGCTACTCTGACCCATCAGGAACAATGGCTTCGTTGTGCTCCTCTCTGACTTGCTTGCTGGACTTGGAAGCAAGAGGAGCTTTGAGCTGCCCAGCACCCCCAGGGGCAGGAGGGTATAATCATGGCCCAAGGACAGCACTGTGGACCCCATGGGACCCTGCAGTTGTTAGGGGGCTGGGATAGCACCTTTCCAGGCCTGAATACTGAATTTGCCAGTGCTCAGAGGCAACTCTGCTCCTGAAGGATGGGCTGAGATGTGTCATTCACAGAAAACCTTCAGAAAAGAACAGATGTTTTCAGGAAGTCCCAGATGGCAGGCAAAGGTGGGTAGGAACCTGGCAGAGCCTAGAAACTCCAATCTGAAGGTCCAGGCCCCAAGTTTTGGAAGAGAAGAGTAAGCAAAAGAACCAGAAGAAGGTCTAAAGGCTAAAGTCATAAAGACATGAGTTTTCTGTTTAGAAATGAGAACAGGGTCCTGTCATAAAACCAGCCTCCCAGCCATCAGTCTGAGGTGTGAGAGGAGAGACGCACTGGCCAGGAGGGGGTTTAAGTTTTTTTCTCCCATCAACAAGCTGTGATTTGCTAGGTCATCTAACAAGTTCCTCAGTTTCAGCTGTAGAATGGGCGCTCATGGCATTGCTTAGACCTAGGATCCAGTGAGCTAACAAGCTAATATATGAGACTACACTATGTGGACCAAATGCATAGGCAAAGTACATGCTGTTGGAGTGGCTGGTTCTAGGGTGGACAGTGAGAGTGCAGGCTGCTGCACAGTCTCTCCCCTTGCCCCCGTCGCTCCATGGAGACAACGGCCTGCTCGCAGGCATGGCATGATTTCGAAAAGTGAAATCTGAATTGGGGAACACATCATGCTCATGTCCAGTTCTGGGCTTTCACTGTGCTCTGTCTCTGGCTGAGGGGATCTCTGCTCTTCCCAACCACAGTCTACCTGGGAAGACCCTACTCAAGCCCAGCCACCTCCAAATTGAAGTACTAATGCCCAGGCTGCCCCTTTCCCTTCGGGACCTCCATCCCAAAGTGCGGTATGTGAATATACAGAGCAGCGTGGCTCTCAGACGACTTCATGTAATTTTCTGAAAGCAGGGACCGTGACTTCTTTCCTTTGGTTCCCCATAGGATACAAAAAATGGCTCTGAGGCAGATAGAAAAATACTTGCAGAAATAAGGAAGATACAATATGAATTTTCAGACTTAGTCAACCGCCGAGTATTTAACAACAGTCTTTCCTTCACCAGTCTTATCAGCTCACTTCAGTAGTCTCATAAAGGTCTGTGCTAATGTTCAATTTCTATAAACTACTTAATAAATATTTCACTTTACATTGGCATAACCCATGATAAATCCACAGGAAATAAGAGCCACCAGCAGTGGTAGGATCAGAATACTTTAATAAGATACCAGTGTCAAAATACATTTCCTTATAAAGTTAAGCTCCCATACAGTTATAATGTTGTCAGTAGGAATTCGACAATATAATAATGTTCATGAAATCGTTACGTTGACAGGTAGGGTTAATATGAAGCTTGGAATATTTTTCAGTGTTTTAGTAAAACTGCAAGGGTAAAATGCCCTTAATGCCAGGGCAACACACACAGGAAATCAAATACCAGCATTTACATGTCAGTAACCCTTCAAGTTCTGCCACCCTGTGTGGGGTAATGCTGTGCAGCTAAAATATGATTTAGACAACACCATGACTAAGGAATTTCTCATATAACTTAAATTTCTTTTGAAAGCTACTTTTTGTTTCTGGCAATAAGTCCATCCGGGCTTACTAAATAGTTGGCCTAATGTGCTTTGTGTGTGTTTTTAGAAACTTCTTCGTTGTACCCATTACAGAAAAGTTCCACGTAATTGGTATTGAAAAACCAGAGGTGTCGTCCCTCTTACCCAGTGAGTTGCAATGTGCTCTGGGAACGCTATTTTCAGTGCTTCCTACCTATACCTGTCACTGCCTGACCCAGAGACCTCAGCCAGGGCCTGCAGCTCGGGGCCATCCCTGGAGGCCTTTGCAGGGCCATCTGGCTGCCAGCTCGGGGGGCTGCAAG